TCGAACAAGATCGGGGTAAACGCTCGCGTTGGGAGCCAATGTTTGAATCTCTCGCAACACCTCAGCCCTGAACTGGTTACCAGTGCACCTTAGCAAACGCTCTCGGCACCCCTCACACAAAGAACAGAAAACCCTCTGTACTGTAGCCACCGTATAAACCTACTGTTGGGGTGAGACCTTGCAAGGGCAAAGATCCGCGAGAGATCCTTTGGTCGGGCGGCCGCAGCGAAATCGCTCGCCGTGGATGGCCCGGCGTTGACGCCCCAGGCGCCGGGTTTCTGGAGACCCCACCAGGGCCAGGAGATCCAGTAAAGAAATGAGATACTGTATGCATTGTATGCAGGGATGTCTTTGTGTATATAGTATTCTCCGGCTGTATGTTCAGGGGGCTTCGCATGCATCTCTTGAGCAGTTGGATCTTCTAGGCCCTTCTAGGCCTCGTCATCGAAGGGGAGGCATTTACCATCGAGATGAGTCGCATCATGAAGCTCGGCGATGGCGAAGAAGTTGCCTACGGCTACCGGTTGATTGCGGAGGCGGAGCTTGCACCCAGCACGGTGAACGACATGCACATTGCGTGCCAAGCCTCGAAGTACGCCTCTAGGTGGCACTTGGGATATCGTGCCTGAAGCTTCCTCTTGATCTTATAGCGGTATACGTACGGCATAGAAGATTGTTTGAAGACCCTGGCGCTACATAGAACCCCTGAACACATTGCGGGGTACTTTCCTAAACCCGAGGTTTGTGCCTACATTCTCTCCGACTGTGGCGGGGACGTGCAAGAGGCGCTTCGGTTGCTGCCGGAGGCCGGAGTCCGCTCCTTTTCTTGTCTCTCCCAGTCCACGGAACTCGATATATATATATATATATATATACATATGTATATATATATATATGGGGCTCTTCCTATCCATGCTCGGCTTGGCATTGATGGTGTTGCCAGAGGTCCGTGGGAAGTGGGAGGAGCTGGAGAGCCTCTCGGAGAAACGCCAACAGAGCCTCGGGCTGCGTAGCGGCGGCTGCTTCGTGGCAACGCAAGCTACGGCACTGGAGGACCCGGATAAAGTCGAAGACAGAACCTGACGGAGCTGTCGGCATGTTGCTGCTGTCTTGTTCAACTTCTGATGCTGTTTTGCTGGCTTGCCGCTGTGGCTTTTGACAGTTTGAGAGAGCTTGCGACTAAATTTAGCCAATTCCGGTGGTGATTCTTGGGAAGGTTTCGCTTGCTTTACACTGAACGATGGCCATGAAGGAGTCTCATGAGCCTGACCAGCAGGGCAGTGCTAGATAGCTGTTTCCTCACGCTTTGACATTGGGGCTCTTGGGGTTTGTAAAAAAAAAAAGCAGGGATACTGGAATGGTCCTATAATCGGTACTATAAAGTAGACTATATAAGGGGTACCTTTTAGAATCCAAAGAGGACTCCTGGCTCCTCGGTGCGCGCCTGGACTTGGGAGCGGCGGCGCTGAGCTTCGCTGCGAGGGAGACGCTGAGGCCCATGCCCAACGAGTGCTTCTCGGACCAGGACAGGTGGACTATTAGGGAAGTTTTAGGGTTTAGGGCAGAAGGGTTTAGGGTTTACCGTGTTTAAACACCCAGTTGTATGTTTAGAGGGACGATTAGGGGACATTTGCTGCTTGTCTTGCTTGCGGTTCAGACCATACCAGGACTATCAGGAGGCACTGGGCCACGAGCGCCCCAACGTCCTTCCAGCTACCTGGCGTGGTCTTTGCACCAAGTTCTTCAAAAGGCTTTTCTGGAGAATGTTTTGGTGACTCTCTGCTGTGCTGAAGGTCTCCACGTCCTTGTACCGGAACACCTTGAGCTTTCGGTGCGGGCAGGAGTACACGGCGGAGATTTGGGTGCCTCGGCCGAGCCCTGCGCGTGCGCGCGAGCACTCTCGGCTTGGTGTGTGTTCCCTGTGTTCCCTCTTGCAACTCGAGGCTTCTCCGGACTTCAGATTGGCCCTGGACCGGAAAGGCTTGATCATCGAGGCCGGTGTGGGTGGTCATGAGGTACCTTTCGCCTTCCACCCCGTGGAGGGCGGAAAGGGCAGCTTGAGCTGGCGCGAGGAGACGTGGATTGAAGTGGCCATGACCGACTTGCTGAGCCACTTGCGGAAGCACCGGCGCCGTCACGAAGTCGTCGAGGCGTTGCTGAGCACACCAGAGAAGGATCCCTCGCTTCGGAACCAGCCAGAACCCTGGCACCGTACCGTGGCCGGGAGCTGGTTTGCCGAGGCAAAGTGGTATGGAACCTCCTCGGAGATGTCTCAAGTGCTGCTGGCCATGGTGACCAGCGAGAAGAGCGCCTTCTTCCTGGAGTTCGAGCTGCTTTTATCTGGTGTCCTAGTGGCCTATCGGCTTCATGAGTACGACCGCGGCACCTTCCGCGAGGCCGTCTGGACCTCTGACAGGAGGCGATCGCTCTTCGGGGCAGACCCCGAGAACTCCTTCGAGCTCTTTCCGGTGCCCAAAGCCCTGGAGGACACACCTTCTCCTTTCTGGATTTGTTTTCAAGGAAGATCATTTTGATGTCGGTCGGTTCATCCTTGCAAGAGACAATCCTGGGACATGAGAGCATCGGCGAAAGTGCGTCGGAATCAGACAACTTGATAAATTGAAGGACCGGGCGGGTGAACTGAGCCCTTTGATGGCGTACGCCCCCTCTGTGGTCCTCCACAGCGCTAAAGGGCGCTACCTGCCGCAGAGATTCCTTCGAGGCGCATCCCAAGTCAAATCCAGCAACTCTCTTTGCTGGACGTAAAGTAGTATGTCTATAGGACACGCAGGGACATGCACTGTAGTCTATTTGTATCATGTTCTATGGTACACGGGGTCTTGCGGGGCATTCCACTCCAGAGACATTGCAGTAGGTTCTATGATCTTCCACTTATGCTCATAGCCTAGTTTCGTATTGTATAACATGAAGGAGTATAGTACAGCATAGGTATAGCATGGAATGGTATAGCATAGTATCGCATGGAAGAGTAAAGTGTTTGAAAGTATGGTATGTAGTATAACACAGCATAGTTTGTCTAGTACAGTATAGTGTAGCACAGTACAGTAGAGGAGAGTATAGTACAGGAGAGTACAGTACAGCACAGCACAGTACAGTGCAGCACAGTCTAGCACGGTGCAGCATAGTGTAGTATAGTATAGTATAGCGTAATATAGTTAGCATATAGTCCAGTTTGGTGCATTAAAGCTCAGTCTCGTTAACCTGATGTTGGTTTGATCAAGTGTTCAGTGGTTTGTTGTGGTTTAATGTAGTGTAGTGTCTCATATGGGGGCAGCAGAGCGCCAGGACTGTTGCCCGAAGTGATGCTGCCTCATTACGCGTTCTGGCAGATCTCCGAGCAGTGCATCGAAGCGCGGCCGAAGGACTCCCAAAGCCGTTGGTTCAGCACGGCTCTGAAGATCCAGATGCTGCCTACAGGCTTGGCTAGAGTCAGGAAGGAGTTGACAGAGGAGGGCCCGGAGGGCCCCGAGTTGCTGGATGCAACTCGTGCCTCCCCGAGCTCGGAGCTCTCAGTCTTTGCAGAGCGGCTTTCGAGGGTTGAGCCTTTGTCTCACATTCTGCTGTGGACGAGTGTCTCTTTGGAGAAGGATATCGGTGCTGCGGTGGACCTGGTAGAGATGCCGCGCTTGCAGCTGCGCTTTCGCTTGAGGGAAGGTCCTGTGATCCGCGACTCGGGCGATGGCGATGGCCCCAAGATCGCTTTTGAGCCGAAGCTCTTCTGCGATGCTTATGGTGGACAGCTCTACCTCGAAGCCACCCAGCATCAGGCGATTCGACAGCTCCTTCCAAACTGCCCTCACGCGCTGCCGCCTCATTGCCTCCTTCTAAGATCCGAGTCTGGCGAGGCGAAGGCGTGGATAGCTCCAAGAGCCATGTCTCTCCGTCGACTGCTTCTTCTACACCAACGCATCCACACTACGTATACTGATGCGTCTGGAATATCTGTTGAGTTATACTTCTCGATATGAATGGAGAGCGCTCTTCTTTCGAGAGCTGGCCATGAACTGTCACTAGACTATGCGGATCCGATATAGAGAGTTAAACACACAGCAGAGAGCGCTTTGCTTGTGCCAAATAGAAGAGTCCAGCGTCGCACATGTCAGAAGCTGCCAACTGTACGGGTACCAATAGTGTAGGGGCCTGCATCGGTGTCCTAGAACACATGGCCAGGCAGCCAGGTGATCATGTCCCATGCACGCTAGTTCACTCACCAACCTTCTCTCGTAGCCTCGCGCTGGCTGCATATAGCCGAGCCCGTCGCTCAAGTGTTGCTGTGTCCTGTCGGACGTCTTCAAGCAGGTGGTGGCCCCGCTTGGCGCGTTGAAGCGGCGCCACAGCTACCCAGAGCCGTTTTCCACCAAAGACCCACGGCTTGATTCGGCAATCTCTAAAACTCCGAGACTGCACGACTTTAGCTGAACCTGCAGCATGCAGTGACATGTATGAAGTGTCCGAGCCTCTCGGCCTGCAGAAATCTGCTCCACACTTCGGATGAAACTCTGTTGCAGTGTTTCAGACTGCTTGGCAGAGAGGTCTTCTGTCCGCTTTGTGGCTGCTACTGAGCCGCTTGCTGCAGCTGGACTACGAGGGCGCTGTAAAGCTGCTGCCTTTCGTGTCTGTGGCTTCGGCCGAAGGCCACCTACGACACGACGAGGCCCTGGTATTCCGGATGGCCTTGAGAGATACCTCGGACCGAAACCCGGATGCTGTGGCCATTCGCTTACGCCTGGTGCATGCCACCGTGGCCTGTCGGCAGCCTGACGAAGACCTCGCCAGGTGTGCCTTCGCCGACGCGGCGAGCTACATCTCCCACTTGACACACGTAAGCCAGAGCTGCTGCATGTCCCTGGACGAAGAGCTGGAGCTATGGAGCTTTCGACGAACGTTCTGTCAGACAGTGTTTTTGTGGTTCAGGTAGGCAGGCATCGCCAGCGTGTGGTCTGTCGGAAGACAGACAACAGCCGAGGAACAGCTTGAGCTCCATGAAGAGCGAAATGGAGGCCACCAATCGCTTCATCGCATGGCGCCGAAGCGTGCTGCTGGCTTGGAAGCAAGGCTCCTCCGAGGTGGACGTGCCATGGGCGCGGCGTTGCCCCGGTGCGTGGCTTTCCACCGTTCTTGATGACGAAGAGCAGGCGGTCTATCTCCAGAATCTGCCTGTGACAGAAATCGACTGCATCGGCCGCCCGACGATGTAGAAGAAGGTGATAGTGTTGCATGCTCGCATGTGCTCGCAACCTGTTTACATAATCTGGCCTAACTTAATCGCTCACGAAGCAACCTCGGCCCGTCGGCAGGCCTACAGTCGACAACGACCCGACGACGACAACCAAAGCAAGCACCGCACGTTTCCTGCTCCTGCCAGACTGGCAACAACGGCAGCAGCAACAACAAAGCCGAAGCAATGCCTGAGAATGCGCCGTGCAAGCTTCAAGAACTTCTTGCCCCCCCCCCCCTCCCACTGACCCCTGCCCGTCCTTGCACACACCCACGCCCTCTAAACCATCCAAAACCGCCCCAAGCACCTGCCGCCCCTGCCCTTCCAATGCCCGTGCTCCTACCTTACAACCACCACCACAACGACGACAACAGCATACACCCCCTACATGCCTAGATGCCCCCACACCTCCATACACCCTCAACACCCAATCCCCTTTACACCACCTCCACATGCAGCCCCCTGTACACCCCTTGTACACACCGTGCACACCCCGTAACCCCTTTGTTCGCCCCTAGACACCCATTGTCTGTACACCCCCATGCCCCCTCTACACCCCCCCTTTACACCTGCGCCTTCTGACCATTTCCGTTGACAATTAGGTCCGTGGTTTGGGTTGGCCCAGAATTTGTAGCGAGTCTGGCGGGTCGGCAGGGAGAAAATAGCAGAATACGCTTGTGTCCAATTCGTCCACCACAAACTGTCAGGGAAGGAGAGTTGAAAACTGACATGTCTAAGCACCGAAGCCTCGGCGGATTGAAGTCTACCTGAACGCCTGAGGCATCAAGGGTCAACCTCTCCTGGAGTGCTCGAAGTTTCGAAGCCCCGACTGGCCAGAGCTGCTGGAGATGCTGGAAGGCGTTGCCCTCAAAGACGGGCTGCGCCTTAGAGGCGACGAGTATCACGTGCAGGGCATCTACGTGTATAGAACAGGTTAGTTGGGATGTAAGGGGTGGGTACGGGTACGATCGGGGATTGCCGATTGGCAAGCAAAATTCGGCGATGCTGCATTTTGCAGACTGGGCTTGCCCAATGCTAGGGGTTGCAAGCGAAGTTTGTTCGGCGAGCCTTTGAGAGCCTCCGGAGCTCTACACTGAGGTTTGCCACGCTTCTGGGCTTATGGGAAGTGGGCAAGTCCATGGAGGTGCAGCGACTGGCCACGAGGAGAGCACTGCCAAACAGATGTCGGACGTTCCAGCCATTTCTAGCACTCCGTTCCTCCAGGATGCTCCTCTTCAGCGTGGCGCGTCGGACTCTCAAGACTCCAAAAGCAGCTTCGAAGGGCAGGGCAGATTCGGCATGGGACGCCCAGACCCCCACTCAGGTGGTCAGAGCTTGGACAGACGGCTGCTGCTCACTCTCTGCATCTTGCAGATCAGTTTCCCAAAAGGGCCAACTCCCAGCATGAAGACCCCGCGCCTGGCGGCCTTCCAGAATCTGCTGCCCCGACAGAGCCTCTCGAGCTGCAGCAGCTGTGCATGTCCATGACATGGACATTTGCGTGCATCATATCTGACAGGTAAAGAGCGGAAGGAGTGGGTGAACGCATTGCCACTCGGGCCTGACTGTTGTCTTGGGGTTATTGATGTTCTAGACAGATATAGGATCCTGTCTGGCACCAGATCAAGAATCTAGGACAGCGCCTGTTTACTTCTCTTCGTCACCTGCTTTTCATCTGTCTGAGGTTTGACTGGGGATGTCGGCATTTACGTGAGAATCCGGGGCTCGTCGATGAACTGCGGAGCTGGAAGGAGATAGCACCTCTGGATGGCAGTTTCCTCAGCGCAAGCACACAGCCTTAAGGGTCCAAACCACCGCATTATCAGTTGTCTGCAGGAGCGTGGTAACTGTCGGTTCATTTGCATCAAGAGCCGTGTCCCTGTGGGCCGAAACTGCAGCTCTGTCTGCAAGCCTCCCAAGGATGTGTTTCTGTTCCTCTCTCGGACCTTCAGCCGACGGCGGTCCCTCGCAGCGCCACGGACCTGCTTTAAGCTTCCAGTTTACCTAGAAGCTGCCGCATCCGTCTCGAAATTTCTGTAGCCTAGAGGCCTAGAGTCCTAGAGCCTCAACATGCATCCTCAGCCCGCACCCCACTTGACTGTGAAGGACTTCCGCTGTCACCGCCGGGTCCTGACTGAAACGACTGGCAAGTCCACCACATGGCCGGTCCTCTCAGACCGAGAGCTCCAAGAGATTCTTGCCACACAAGTTTAGTTATATATGACTGTGAAAAATTACCGGAATATATGATACAGTAGTAATATTATAATTATAGTAGTGCAACTTTCAGATGGCTTCCAGGGGGATATGCCTGGAAGAGGCAAGGGTTGAGGCCTCAGTCCACATTCAGCCTTCAAGGCTGGAGTCTATTGGATCGCAGAGCACTGGCTGACATTGATTTACAGTGGCTTAAATACGACTGGATAAGCTCACATGCAAGAAATCCCAAGACAAGAGAGCTTGATGCTGTGGCACTGATGGCTCCAGGACCAAAGTTGGTAGAGTCGCTTACTGCAGTGATCCCATCGCATATTATGCAGGCTAGGGCTGATTGCAGTGCTTCTAAGATTCTCGACAAAGTGAACCTTTGTTTGTGGTCATCGGGCGATTGAGAAGCAGCGCCCCTTGACTTTCCAGCATGAGCCTGTCGCCCGAGCTCAGCATCGCGCTCCAGCGCATAACCGCTTGCAACAAAAGCGAGCGCTTGCTAATGGTGGTACGCGACGACCTGATGAAAAGTTTGCAAGCGGGACAGACAGCAGTGGCTTATGCGCACGAAGCGTGGATGCAGCTTGAGCGGTTGGGTGCGGATGTGATGTCCATCGGGAGGTTGGTCGGTTTCGTTGACAGGGACAAGTTGCACAAGGCTTTCAAGGACTCCAAGCTGCTGATGCGTGACAGAGTGGTGTGGCAAGCGATGGGTCGTTTCCGCACGATGCTGGACACGCAGGTCATCATGGACTACCTGGCGATCATCGTCAACAGCGACAATACGCGGCTGAGTCAACTTCGGAATGCCTACTACAAGGTGCGCGACTAGCGGGATTCGGGACCCCGTGCTTCATGTAGAATAAGTGTGGAGAATCCGTTCTACCAACATCGACACACCTCTCACATGTCAGCCCTCGGTTTTGTAAGCGCCACCCTCGCTCAGGTACAGTCTGATGTCGTTGCTGAGGCGATGGCGAGCTACTATAGCTGGGAGAAGTTCGCCAGGAATGTGTGTGGCAATGTTGAAGATGACGACATGCAGGCCGTCCTTATGAACCTAGGCCGTCTGGTGGATCTCAGCGAGCAGAACTTCTACCCGAGCTTGATGGAAGTGCCCTTCATCGTCAACGATGCTCTTTCGAAGACACGGCCAGAATCCCAAGCGCAGTTGCCAGTCGGCACGACCCCCAACACTCCAAAGCTGACGTCTGATGCAACGGCCCTGCAGGCGTCCTTAGCCGAACTTGGACGTGTTCTTGCCTACCCGGACTTCGTGGACCCAGTGCATGAGGCCCTGAAACTGAGCAATCAGGCGAGCCTCGTTGCCATCCAACACTCAGTTGCAGCCTGGGCGCGTTTGCGCAACGATGTCGAGGGAAGTGGGGTGCTTTCGTGCGATGACGGGGCTCGGAAGTTCCGCAAGCTCGATTCCCTCCTTCAGGAAGAGGTCTTGTGTACCTGCTATGCGTTCCTCGGCAAGGACGGTGTTGCAGAGTTTGGGATGGTTGATCAGGTTTTTCGTGAGCAATGCGAGTCGAAGAAAGACATGCCGCTACTGAGCATTGAAAACTGTCTCACCAAGCTGCACACGACACATTCGCACTTGCAGAAGGCAGTCCTCGCAGAGTTGACATGCTCAGAAAATGTTTGGAAACGTACCCTGACGAGGATTGACCAGCTTCAGCGCAAACCGAATTCTTGAAGTTCTTTTGTAACATCGTCCAGCATAGCCTCCATTACATGACAAGATGTGAAAAAGCTTCTGGCACAGCGTTTGTTTGCGCTGAATCACTGGCCCACTGCGACGGCCGACCTGTAATCTGCAAATGAATGGTGAACCACTGTCCTGTGGGCCGTGCGCCCACCGCACTTATTGCCACGACGCAGACAGTTTCAAAAAGAAGAGCTGCAGGTCATCGACTTTAGTCACGTCGGGACAGCAGTGCCTGAATGTTCCTGTAGATCGACGTCCCTGACAGCAACAGCTTCGTTCGCAGTAGAACTCAGTAGCCGTCGCCGTAGTTGTAGTAGTTCGGAGAAATCAGGTTGGGCATTGTACAGTACCAAACCAAGCCAGGGTGAACCCTTAACAGGGCGCTCAATAAAACCCTATCTGCATGTCTCTGAGGATGGCAGTGCGCCTTGGCAAGCTCTGAAGGCGGTGTCGGCGATGTCGCTTAGGGTTTACAGGGTTCGTTCGTTCTCTCTTTCTTTGTGAGTAGAGTTTGTATGCCAGGCTTACAGTTTGGGGTTAATCCGTGGGCATGTCCGGCTGAGCTTGTCGGAAGCTTCCGAGGCGGACACCCGCCCTTGTGGTGGGATGCGAGTCGCTGCGGCCGACGTCCGTTGGCTCTGAAATCATGACCCGGCTATCGTTTTTTTTCTCATGTCTGTACTCGTACTCGGAACCGGAACTTCACCATGTCAGATTTCACAAAGCACTGTGGCGGGAAAGCGCGACTGCACATTGTCGTCCCGGATAGCCCCGGGTATCCGCGAGTATGCGCAAGTATTCGTTGGGTATACGCGGGTATGCGGGTGTATGCGCGAGCACCGGTATGCGTGGGTATGCGGGTTTATGCGCGAGTATATCGCGGCTATCGGCGACTGCACTGCGGCGGAAGATGCGACTTCTGGTGGGGGGGTTACCTTGTATATCATGTATTAACAGTATTATGTAATATATGGGACAATGAATGTTAAATGCGGTATAATGCATATTACACATTGTATATCAGATTTTAAACAGTACATGTTACATACTAGTGA